CCCGCGAGCTATTCTAGCCAAGATGTCTCTTCTCTGCAGAAGTAACAACAGGCTTCCACACAGAGACTGCTGGTGACCTTCATACAGACACAGAAGACATTTTTCCTTGATCTTAATAACCTACATGCATGGCACAACTCAGAAAGTTTCAGAAAGAACTTTTTTCCTCTGGTGTCCTATTACCTAAAAGCGGCACTTTCCCAAAAAGCCTCTTTGCCTTCTGTTTAGAGAGTGCCTTACTAGCAGAGCAACTTTAATGAAGTCCCAGGTTACTTTCTCTCATTAGCTGTAATCACAGGCAGGGAAAAGCTATTTTTTGCTATGAGGGGGAAGTACAACTGAGATATGTTAATGAGGCTGCAGGGACTCTATTTGAAACCAGGACTTTGATAAATTAGGAGAGCACAAGAAAACATGCTTCATGCGCTGTCCAATCAGATTCTGATTCAGGTCTGCTGAAGAAGAATGCACCTTACTGCAATCTCAAACTGTCATCATGTAAATGAAGTGCAAAGGGGATTGTTAAATTCCTTATCAACACATTTAACTAGTGACCTTATTAAACGCTTCCCAGATGGCTACCTTTTGCAAAACAAATGAGTCTCCAGTGGGTGATATCGTATGTTTTAACTTCCCTGAAAACTTGTGTAAAGCCATTACTCCAGCACAATGAAAGGCTCTGTTTCACCAGTAAACCTGTGTCTGTTCATTTTGCCACCAGTGAGCACAATTTGCAATGTCACCTTCCTCTCATGCTTTGCGCAAAACTGACAGTAAACTTCAGAGTCGCAGACTGGCACCTGTCCCTCTGCCTCAGTGCCTGTAGCTCGTGTTTTAGTGGTTGTAACATGGTGCTGCAGCCTGTGGGTTGCCACCTGCTATGGCAGTGGTCCTCCCTGCTGCTGAGTCTCTTTCGTGCAGCAGCAGGGGGAAGAGAAGGAGCACCAACTGTCCAAGCAGGACCCTTCTAGAAGCCTCACAAGGAAACCCTTGCTCTAAAATGGGATATTTTAAACTGCTAGATTAAAAAAAAACACATCAGTGCAGTGTTCAAACAGAAAAAATGGACTCTCAAACTGTGTAAATATTGAAAAATATATGGCTTTCCTTAAATCATTAACTTATGTAGGTTGTGCACACTGTATATCCTCTGTCCTCTGCAATGCATTAATACCCATTTAACAAGGAAGGAAATACTAAATACAGTCAAACGTAAGATACTTAGTGTTCTACAAGTCTTCTACTTCTGCTTTTCTGATCATCTTAGTTATCTACAACACTGCTTCCACACTACTGCATCTAAAGACATAATTCAGAAAAAGACTATGTCTATAGCATATGTAAGCATCTTTTTACTAGTGTTTCCATTAGACATAGCCTTATTTTATAAACTCCTATGATGAAATGACTGCCCTGGTAAGTGAGAAAAGCACAGCGGATATTGTCTGCCTAAACTTCACTGTCCCCCATAAGATCTTCATAAAAAAGGTAATGAAGTATAGGCTGGATGAGCAGACAGTGAAGTGGATTGAAAACTGGCTGAACAGACAGGCCCAGAGGGTGGTGATCATTGGCACAAAGACTAGTTGGAAGCCCGCAGCTGGTCGTATACCCTAGGGGTTAATACTGTGTCCAATCCTGTTCAACATCTTCATTAATGATCTGGATGATGTGACAGAGTGCACCCTTCCAACCTCAACCATTCTGTGATTCTGTGATTTTATGAAATTTAATTGCCGTAATATTTGCTGAGTCTTGCATAATGTTACATAGTCTTGCATAACCAGATTTTTCTAACCAAATTTAATTTCCTACTTTGTAAGGTTTTTAATACTATCTATTCGCCTTCATGCTGCAACTTTACGCTCAACCAACTGCACAGGTAATTGAAAATATTTCTGTGTGATGACTGTGCAATAGCCTTTGTAAAACAAATAATTTCCTAAGAGACCAGATCCATAGGTAACTTAGGCAGTGGGAGCTCTACAACCCACTCCTAGATGTCTCAACTTCTTATTTCCCATAGGAATAGGAAAAGTCAATCTTGTAAACACTGAGTACTCACCACATACTGACTAGAAAATATCTGTCACATAAAGAGAGATCACTGAAAACAGAGTGCATCCTAAACCTTTTGTACTTTCTCAGTTACCATTAGGAGAAAACATTTATTGAGAAAATTTGAGCTTACATTTTGCTCTCTATTGCTGTGATTTCTGCTTTACTGAAGCCAGCCCAGAGGAATAAGAGCAGTTAGTAATTTACCAAATAGTTCTCACCAATCAATAATTAAGAACATCATGGAAATTAGGTAAAACATGAAGGAAAATCATAGGCTGTAATAAAACTCAACAGCTTTACCAGAGAAAATGATGGCTACACAATTTTCCCTTCACCTTGCCTTTGCAGTACAGCAATGCCTCATATGACTAATTCTCAAGGACAATTTCTAAGATCCTTTCTGTAGTCTTGCTTTAACGCAGTTAAACAGTTTCTTTTAAAAAGGTTTCAGTTCCTGTGCATTTCTTAGCAAGTTCTAGACATTTCATTTCTGAAAGGTGAGATGTCAAATTGTTCCCCCATCATTGTCTTGTGTCCCATCCTGAAAAGAGGATCAGTGATGAGGCACATGGAACACTGCTTTCTGAAGGTAATGCTTTTTCAACTGTAGCCTCTTTCCACAGATTATTTTTGTATTCTTATTTTTCTGCACAGATTTATGTTTTAGTTACTTCTTTTAATAAAGGACCATTTGTGTGAAACTTGTGTATCTTCCACTTGATTACTTAAAAATAAAGTTACTAGCCATGCCTGTCTCAAAAATACTGACAGATGTCAAAGATAAAATAGTTCAGCTGTACACACTACTATTTTGGAAGTCTGTAAATGATTCTGTTGTAGATAATCCCAGAGATTTGCATTTTATTTCCAAGAGGAATTTTCCTTTTTTGTTTTTAAAGCAGCTGTCATAACGGTAGACTCCTTTAAATGTTCTTACTTTTCCCTTAATTAATTTTAAAAAACATGTTTATTTTCTGCCCTGTTCTCATTACACACTGTATATCACAGATAAAAATCTGGTCTGCGCTGAACCTTTGGATTTGTAATGCACCTTCAATCCACCTGCATAAACCTCAGCATTAAGTCTGAACATCCACCTCTAACCTCAGAGGACTCCACTTATTCACATTAATTATGAATTAATTTTGTCTTTTCTTGTAACAAAATAAATACCTGTCCTACTTTTTATTTCTTTATAAATAGCAGCTTGTCCAGTAACAGATTATAGACTCACCTGAATTAACTTTTCATTTTATGTGTTTCTGTAATGTATGGGGAAGACTTTCTGTACGTTATGTGAAAGCTATAGATGCAGTCAGCATGAGAGAAAGTGCCATTGCAACCCATTAAATTACAAGATAGTAATCTTCAAGGTTAGTAAATATTTCATTAGAAATTGTTATTCTTAAAAAAATGTGAAAGAATGTAATGGCTATTAAGATAAATTAAACTCAGAACATCTTTCCTCCACCTTCAGCTTCTCCTTTCAAAGATTCATTTTGATATAGCTCATATTTGCCTCAAGTCATCAATATAGCTCCTCTATACACGGGGGTAAATGAATTGATAGAGCAGACAAAAATAATGGTCTTGGGAATTAGGCACTTGTCTTTGTTTATCTCCTGTTGATGTAAACCTCTAAATCACATACATATTTTTAATTCAAAATCTCTTAGGAATTAAATGCAATGATATAAAAGAAAAAAAAAACTCCAACCTTTCGTTAATCTAAGCCAAGTTACAGAGAGGGTCTGGCTTTTACTGACATTGTAGTTTTGCAGGAAAATAACAAAACAGGAAAACATCTACTTGAAGAGTTTATTGATGGTATTACTAAAAGATGCAGGTAGGATTAGCCTGTAAAACTGACTGACAAGCACTCTTTTTAATCTTTTCGTGCTCTCTTTCTGTATTTTCTTAATTGCAAGGTGATACCTATTGGAAAAAGTTGGTGGACCAAGCTGCTTCCCAAGTTCCTTTTAAGTAGGTTAAATTGCTGCGGAGAAGAGTATCTCTTTCTGCTTCTGTTTCTAAATTTGCTCTTAGTCCAGAACAAGTTATCAGGAAAAGAGGTGGAAGAAATGGGTCTGGCTCTCCCCAGACAGATGAAGAGAATATTTTGTCCCTTGAAAATACTCACTAGTATATTCATTTATAACTACTGAAGCTGGACCACAGTCTATTACAGAAGACAAAACTCAGCTTATTTCCATTCCCTTTTAGTTAGTGGAATTGTAATGATAGAAAACAAGTGTACATGTAG